TGAAGCATTAGCGACACTGCCTTGTGTTTGTAAAATTGTTGAGGGTTTTGTAATATTGTGTGAGGTTGTTTAGGGTGTTGATCACAATTGATGTATAATTATTTGGTTGATGATATCATCGATCAAAAAGTAGTTAAATAAATGTGTGTTTGTTTTGGTTCATTCTGTTTGTGTCTACTGTGTCCGTACACTCCAAGAGCATAGTGCTCTCTCTACTTTGAGACCCCACACTGGCTGCCCAATGTGGGGCTCTTGGAGCATCGGACAACAGTTTTCGCAGTTCGGTGAAAGCTTTTGTTTGAGCCAGGGAAGAGTAGGCCTAGGGGGACTTGCGTTGCTAGCGTCAGCGGTGTGCTTTGTTGAGAGCGAGGAGGTCGATTGTTTGCTGTGACATGTGTGAACTTGTCGGCCCTAAGTTTTTTTTTTTCTGCTCTCAAGTTTTTTTTTTTTTTTTTTTTTTTGAGGTCAGCTTTTAAGAACGTTGTTCACTTGGTACGGGAGCCATGCGGTCTGCATCCTGGTGTGAGCAAGGCACGTAGACTGTAGGCCAAGCCCGAAGCGAGTGAGTACGGAAGCCTTGTGGATGGTCCGATTTTCTGTAAATAGCTTCTTCTATCTTTTTGGGCTTCCGGAATCTGGCTTCGTTGCTGTCTTGTCTTGCAGCTGGACGCAGAGCGTTATGACACCGTCCGGGACGGTGGACGCCGATGGCTCGGTAAGCGGCTGTGTGTGGCGAGCGAGTAGGGCCACCTTACAGAGTGGATGTCTCCTTATGGCTGCCTCTTCTCACCTAGGCTGGGTGGATGCCGGGTGTTGTCAAGCGACTCATTAAGCCTAAATCTCTGCACAGCCATTTGTCGCATGTGGCACAACTAGGTGGATCATGGTGTTGAGGTATTGCACTTTGCTTCCCTCACTTTTGTTCATCTTGCGATGCACGGGTTAGGAAAAGCGGCCTTTGTATTTATTTTAGCTGAGCGTCTCGGTTGGCGCCAATGTATTAGCTAGCAGTACTGACCATCGTACCACGTGGGCGAGGAGCCGGAAGCTCCCTTCCCTTTGACTTACTGCATTGTTCTTTTGAGTCTTTTGAATGTACGCAGCAGGAGTGATGTAACCCCAGCTGGCTGTCTTCTGGACGTCGTCTTTGCTGTTGGCCAGGAATGCAGTTGAGACATCGGATGATGAACATGCCTAAGACCTGCGCAACTGCCTGCAGTTTGGCGCCGTCGTGAGTGCTGATCGCAACCACAAGTTGTGGCGGCTTGAGTGACAGCTTTTCATGCTGACGGCAACGTTGCCGTAGCGGGACCGGTACTGGGGTGAAGTCATCGAGCCGAACAGTGTAGCAGTGTCCATCGGCAGTGGTGTCGTCGTGCACGGACATTCTTTAGGACATGTGTTGCCATCTTTTGTGAGAGCTTGTCTAGCTTATTTCTTTCATGTTTGTTTTTTCAGGATATGGTTTGTATTAAGGTTGGGGGGATGTGGGGGCGCTAACACCCCCCTGAAAAGCTGTTTGCGCCTTGTGGTGCACATGTCTTGAGCAGAAGCCGCATTCAGAGGTCACAACTAACGAGCGGTAGGTAGGTGGAGCTGTGCTCGCGAGCGGTTGTTATTATCATCTTCATGGTTCGAGTGCTGGCGCCGGCAGTGATGCTTGACGGCAAGCCATGGTGGCGACACGAGAGGGATTAGCGGCTTTCTTTTTTTTTGACGGGCGACGGTTGGCGCAAACGGTTGTCTCTCGCGGTGGGACCCAGGTGCATGGCATCGTGGGCCGTCTGCTGGGGGCCCTTGTGGTGAGTCAGGCGTTAGCGACCCCACCTTGTGTTTATCATGTTGTTGAGTGTTGTGTAATATTGTCTAAGGTTGTTTAGCATGTTGATCGCAATTGATGTAATAATTCGTCATTCTAAAAGCAGTTAAATAATTGTGTGTTTGCTTCGTTTCGACTGTGTCTACTGTGTTCGTTCACTCCAAGAGCCTGGCTCTCGCCACATCGAGACCTCACACATGAAAACTGTTTAATTGGCGAAACTTGTGGCCAGAAAACTGAAGGTCAAATTACAGCAACATATACGGGCTGATAGCGGCGAACAGAGCATCGGCTAGTGACCAACTAACAAGCGGCGAAGCGCAGCGGCATTTATACACGAATACAGTCGAGCCCGCTTCTAACGAACCTGAGCGTGACGCAGCATCCGTTCGCTGCATCCCGAAGTTCGTAGTAAATGAAACACAGCTTTTGAAAAAAAGTGTGCGTGAAAACACAAAATTTTTATGCCCCCAAAAGTCCGTGATGCACGTGTTTCGAATAGCAGAAGCGATAAGGGCGGTCTTGAGTTCATTTAAAACGGCAGGGCGCTCGTTCACCGAGGCACTGACTCCTAAGTTTCATCGTTCTCGCAATCTGATTCCTCCAAATCGCTCTCGCCACGTACTTCATTCACAATGCCCTAATCTGCGCACAGTTCCGCAGTGTCTGCATCATCATCGGCTGTAATTAAACCATCGCAACAGATGTCCCACCCGCTCTCCCAAGTCGGAGTTGAGGACACGCTGCCACAAATCACCGCCGCAGTGGTCCTGTTCGAAAGCTTCAGGCTCCGCATCGGGTCCGACGTCGACAAAGTCGGCCTCCCGAAAACAGTTTCGCGCGCATCTAGCCATCACCGCCGCCCACGAAATATTCACTATCTCTACAGCTGCATACCAGGACGCCCGAAGCAGCAAGTTGGCTGCCAGGTGGTCAACAGCTATGAGCAAGCGCTCCGCAACGTGGCCCCTAACGCGCGGATTACGCTCAAGCCAAGCGGTCACACTTTCGACATTTTGTTGAGCGGCTTTGTGCTAGTCCTCCCATCAGCCATCGTGACCACACATGCACACCAAGAGCGAACAAGACCCGCACACGCGACACACATGCCAGAGCGCATGGAACAGCTCTGGGCCCGTTTCCAGTCAGAAAACGAAACTAATTCGAGCCAGCGTGGCGGGCGTCGCAGAGCGGTGGAGACGGGCTACAGTGCCTATTCTAGCCACTGTAGACGGGCGAAGGGGTTGTGATCAAGAGAGGAGAGCAGACTTGCGAGAGAAGGGCAAGGAGTTGCGATAAAGAGGGAGGATGCAGCGGGAGGGCGACCTTGAAAACCAAAACACACGAGAAGGAGGCAGGTTGGGTGGCTTGCTTGAAAGGTCCGCGAAACACGCATGTAGAAAAAACTTGGAAAAAGTGCATGGCCGCCTGGATCGGTGCGCGCAGCAGTGTTCGAAGAATCGGCGGCCATGGTCAAAAATCGTTTTGTTGCGTCGGCAGGTTTGCGTGGCCTCACGAACTTCGATATTTCGCAATTCGTTCCGCGCAAATTAACGGCCGTTTTCGCGCTTTCACACGTGCCCGGAAGGCATGCTGAGCTGAGTGCGAAGTAAGCGAGAACAAGTCCTAAACACGAAACGAATCGCAAATTATCAGAGTCGGTGGGGTAGCGTATGCGCGTGCCCTAGACGCAGGCTATCGGATACAGTCGGTGGCCGACGATGTTGGCCAATGGTCTGGTCACTCTAGGTTGGCAACGTCGACAGTACCAGCGATCAAGAACGGGGTAGATGGCCGACCGGTCTTCGAAAGATCGGTGGCAGTGTGAAAACACGGGCCTCGTCTGTCAATGCGGGGTGCTGAGAGTAGCAGGGGGGCAAAGGACGGAGGGGTGCGTAACAAAAAGCGGTCGGGGAGAGCGGCAACTAGAGGGGCGCGGAGGCAGGGTCGGCATTTAACAATAAGAATGTATGGGCACCTCGCCGATGCCTGATCGGTGGTCGAAATTGATTTCCCGAGAAGTCGGCAGACCGCTGACTCTGTTCGCTGTAACCGATCAGTGGCGCTCGGAGACGTTCGTCGTAAGTGCGATTTTGTGCCATTGAACCAATGTATATTTTCACGGTCACGCGGATATTGCTCATCTTAAGCGAAAGTTCGTTTTAAGCGAGGCTGTTATATGTGCGCTCGACTGTATTCCAGTCTTATCACTGGCCTTCGCGCAAGCTCTAGAATAATCTCGAGTGTTCGCATCCAGCAGGCAATCTTAACAGACCGATCAGCAATGATCGTGAACCTTCTTGAACCATAGTGCGCAATTTACACTGATCATTTCTGACCCAGGCTTTGCGGGCAAAAACTGAAAAAAAAGGGAAAATGCAAAACGCAGGTAGCAATATGAAACACTTCAAGACTTAGGTGGTACCTCTTGAAGCACAGAACTGCAACATCTACACCAATCACAAGCCTCTTACTTACGCCTTCTCTCAACGTCGCAAAAAACTCCCACCTGTTCAGCAGAACCAACTCTCGTTCATCACAGAGTTCACCACCGACATCCAACATGTCAGCAGGAGTGACACGGTCACAGACGCGCTTTCACGTGTAGTCACCATTAGCTTGGTGCACATAACAGCAAATCTCCTAGCTGAGGCTCAGACTACGGATGCCGAACTGCAGGAACTTCTGAAGGGCACATCCTACAAGAGGTCCTCATTCCAGGGTCGGTAACCACAAACTACAATATGATTTCTAGGAAACTGATAAAATTGTTGATATCTCCTGAGTTAAATAAAACTACATGCAATATTAACAAACAGCACTGATTTATGTGGCAGTATTGAATTTATACATAGTGCACTTGTATAGCAATTATGTTTATTCAGTGCACCACAACTGTAACCTGCCAAGACAGACACTGCAGTGACGGTTGATGACAACCGTCCGAGTTAACAAAATCTTTGGACTGAAATACCGAAAGCACAATGCCACTGAAATAACCGGTGTCTGCCAGCTGCAACCTTCAGACAGGGTGAAATTAAAGTTTAATTAATGTAAACCTATGCATCGCGTGCTGTGGCATAGCACTTCTTTCCTTCCTAGACACGACTCTCTTGAGAACAGCTTCCCGTTCGTGCAGCACAATGAAAAGGCCTGCTCCCTGAAAGAAGGAGTTGCTTACCGCCTTCATGAGGGTGAAGACAAGGCGTGGATCTTTATTGGCACCACTGCTGATGTTTAGGATAGCCATGTGGTTGGCCTGCATGCCAATGAAACGAATGCGGTCCTCTTCCGCGATGCGGAGCAAGTTCTGCGTCTGCACCATCAAGTCTGCACCCAGAAACAAGTAAGACAAATTCAATAACTTGGTCAGCTACCGCACCAGGCTTCCCTGGTGGCAGATTTTAGCCCTTGAAGGGCTGCACTTCTTAGGGTGTTGTGACACCAAAAGTTTGAGTTTGAGTAATGCATTGAAGGATAACTGACACAAATTTTAAATTGTTTCGGATTATTGTTCTAAATAAAAACACTGGTGCTCAGATCCCTAAGAAGAATATCGTAGTGCCTGCAAATGCAGTGAATATGTTTTTTTAATACCACTACCTTAAAATAGGACTTTCAGTTTGGATGTTGAGAGGCCATCTTGCAGTGACGACTAAACACAATCAGATGTTAGAGGAAAACAACATCTCTTGAAGTACTTGCAGCAGCTTTCTCGGTTGGAAATCGTGAACATAAACAATGAAGACATCCATCCATCCAGTGACTACCACACCAATTTTTGTGATTCGGGCTGCAGGCAAACCCAGTGAACTACATCCGACTTCATTGCCGTGAGGCTGGCTTACAAAGGCTGAATGATAAAAGCTTTAAAATCACAGTACATAACATATTTTATACATATTGTCTGGCTCCAGTGTGTACCAACGAAACTAAACATGCCCATCTTGCGATTCTTCAAAGTTGTGTCAGTGCTCTTATAAAGGTACAACTGGCAAGGTGAGGCTTGGTAGGATGGTTCCATTCAATGAATTTCGATGCTCTTTGAGGCACAAGTTGATACATCAACCAGTCCGGTCTAAGTATATACAGTGAAAGCTCGTTAATTCACACCTCATTAATTCGAAATTTTAGATAATTCGAAATGGTCACCGCAGTCCGGCCCGCAGTGCATAGGAGACCATGTGTAAAACGATTCGTTAATTCGAACAGAAATTGCTGCCTCTACGGATAATTCGAAGCGCGCGCCGCTGAGCGTCATCATCGCCATGTTTAACACTAGTGGAAGCTTTTACGGTCGAACAATAGGTGGCACGACCAGTTTTTTTTAGCTTCAAGTGGCCTCCGAGCGAAGGGCGAGCAAAGTATGGCCTCCAAAATTTAGGGAGCAATTTTTTTTTTTTCGTAGCTCTCCTGCTATCTCAGCGCCTGGCGCCACTTGCACGCGGGACCCACGGGACGCTGAAGAGTCGGCGGAGTAGTCCTAGCAGTCCTAGGCCGCTCCCGGCAGCGTCACTTTGTTCCTCGAGCACGATGTTCGTTCACGTCGTCAAGCCGTCTTTTTCCGCATCGAAGTTTCAAGATGCCGCGAGGAAACTACTCCGCGAAGACTGTCAAGAAGAAGGTGGAGATTTTGCGAAAGGTTTACCAAGGAAACTCGAGCAAATACGAAATTGCGAGGAAGCACGGCATACCTCCGAGCATGTTGTCAACCTACATACGCAACAAGACGGCCATTGAAAACGCCTATGAAGTCGAGGATTTTGGCGCCAGTCGAAAAAGGCTAAGGACAGCGAAGTTCCCGGAACTGGAGTCAGCTTTGATTATCTGGTTTAAAGAAATGAGAGCCCAGAGTATCGCATTGAGCGGCCCTATCATTGTGGCCAAGGCAGCCGATTTCGCCCTGCGCTTGGACATTGAAGACTTTGTCGCCTCCGAGGGATCGTTTCATCGTTTCAGGAAGCGGCACAATCTTGTATTCCGCACGTTATCCGGCGAGGCAAAGGAAGTGGACGCCGAAACATGCGCTACTTAGAGAAGCTACACCCTGCAGCAGTACTTGGAGAGCTACTCACCACAGGATGTGTTCAACGCTGACGAGACAGCGTTATTTTTCAAGTTGCAGCCAGACAAGACGATCACCTACAAGGGAGACAGCTGTGCCGGCGGCAAGCGCAGCAAAGAGCGTGTCACTGTTCTGGTCGCCGCAAATATGACCGGTACGGAAAAGGTCCCCCTTTTTGTGATTGGCAAAGCACTCGAGCCACGGTGCTTCAAAAACATTCGCTCACTGCGGACGGAGTACGCCACAAACAAGAAAGCCTGGATGACAGGTGACCTATTCAGGAAGTGGCTACTGAAATTCGACAGGCGAATGGAACTGGGCGGCAGACGCGTTCTTCTTGTCGTCGACAACTGTTCGGCGCACAAAGTCGACGTTGAGCTGAGAGCAACTACGTTGGTGTTCCTTCCGGCAAATACGACTGCGGCCCTACAGCCAATGGACCAGGGTGTGATAAGGAACGCTTTTATAGGCGTCACGTGCTGGAGAGAATGATTTTGTGCGCGGGCGACAGGAAGGACTTCAGCATTACGCTGCTCACTGCCATGCACATGTTGGTGCGCGCATGGAAACAGGTGACCGCAACCTTAATCGCAAACTGTTTCAGCCACAGTGGATTTGCAGATGGAAGTGCGCAGGATAGTTGTGACGTCGACGTGGATGGGGCTGAGGAGCTCATGCCAGCGGCGTTGCGTGACACTCTTCGGAGCGTACGTTTTGCCGATTATGTTGAAGTTGACACCGGTGCATCGGTGTGTGGTGCCCTGACTGATGAGGACATTATCGCTCTAGTAGCCGGTGCGCAGCCTGTTGCTGGAGAGCCAGAAGGTGAGGAAGACGAAAATGAAGCGTCTGTGCGCCCGTCAGCTTCTGCTGTGATGAAGGCACTTAATGTGGCGCGTCTCTTCTTCAGCTTTGAAGAGGGTGAAGAGGATTCCCTGCGCCGCGTCCGCGCGCTGGAACAGAGAGCCGCAGCTGTGGCATTCAGAGAAAAGAAGCAGATGGTCATCGCCGACTTTTTTGGCCAATAAATATTTCTCGTGCCCCCACCCCCGAAATCCACCCATTTTTGTTTACTTTAATTATTTCGAATTTTGTTTAATTTGAAATTGCTCAGCGTTCCCGTGGAATTCGAATGAACAAGCTTTTACTGTACTTTCATTCGAGCTCGATACCCACAATTCAGTTGCTCAAACGCTGTGCCGAGCTGAAAAAGCCCGCCAAATTGCCCATATTAGCACACTGGCATCGCAAGATCGCTCCAAGGAAAGGTATGATCAACACCACGACACTGTTTCATTCGAAAAAGGGGACCTCATGTGGTTGTGGACTCCTCAGCGAAAACATGGCTTATGCCAAAAATTTTTAGCGCAGTATGTCGGTCCATTCGTTATCGTAAATCGCCTGAGTGACTTGACCTACGTGGTGGCACGCTTGACGTCAGCTGGTCGTCGGTCAAGCCAAACACAGTTGGCGCATGTAGCTCGTCTCAAGCAGTTCCATCCCACACTACGCCAATAATTCGGCTCGCCCAGCAGGCTTTATCTGTGAACCGGGGAATGATACGGTATGAGTCGGGCCATATTTTGGGGACAAAGGTGGAGGAAGAGAAAGTTGCAAGTGGAGGAAGTTGGAAGAGGAAGAGGAAGAAAGCGACGTGCTGCATGCAACTAGTGAGGGATGGTTGCAAGGCGTCAAAATGAAATGTTTTTTTGTTTCAGTTTTGGTTTCATTCATTTGTGAAAGTTCCCCCCCTTTTCGGCCCAGAATTAAAAGAAAACCAGTCAAACCTCGTTATAACGAAATTGAAGGGGGAGTCTTAATTAGTTTGTTAAAGTCCATACTTATTTCTACCGTTAATTAGCCAGCAAGAGAGAATGTACTCATCATCGAATATCACAGCAGCCCGCCGCACAGAGAGAAACTGCTGTCAGAAGGCAAAAAATTAGCAAAACAATAAAGAACAAAGCACTTTATTTTTGCCTAATACAGGACACCAGCTGGCAGGCCACTTCGAAGAAAAACAGTCCTTAATAGACTTTTGCCGACTCTTCCTCCCGTGAATGACTGCTTTTTGAGCTGCAGCAGCTATTTCGAGTCAGTCCTCGCCGTCATCGTAACCACCAAAAAAAGCGGTGCAGCAGGTCTGTTGCAGCCAGCACTTGCGCGGGCGTCTGTCTGTCAGATTTGTCAACATTAGGCTCTGGGACATTGACACATTCTCGTCATTATTGTCATGCGCCCTCTTCACCGCACGCAATATTTCTACATGTGACAACTCTTCTGTTGTCACCCCATCAGCATCCACACCTATGTGCAGAAAGTGTCGCAGTCAGGCACAACGCCGGCGTAAAGGAGAGCATCCCACGATGTCTGCGCCTGATTGCCGGTGGCACCCTCACTGGCTACATCGCCGAAATCTTCGGCTACTTTTTTTCTTCTTCATCCGGGACTCAACTGTTTTCAACATTGCTGACTTCTGCTCGATTGTTATCTTTTTGCGCTTACGTTTGCCACTGTTATTGTCCATCTCGTGTCTAGCGGCGGAAACTGATAGCACTGTTGCTCTTCCACAGCGAACAACAAGGAACAAAGCCACAATCTCTGCCATCCCGGCGCGAAGCTGAAAAAAAGGAGGTCAGATGCGTGGGCGTGTCAACGTGTTCCACAGGAGAGGGGAGGCTGGCTGACGTGCACGCTCGCGGGAGTTGCTGCCGCGGGTGAGTCCATTAGTTCCTGGGTGGGCTCGGCAGCTGTGCGAACGTGCAGCCGAATCAGTTTGCCTTCATCATGCAGGTACTCACCATGCCTTCTAAGTTGTTCCTGCTGTTTCTCATGCCTGGCTTCATCGGACCGTCAACAATTCCCGCCCCCTTCCACAACGGCACTTCAAACTTGAATCCCGCTACTATCGCTCCGGATTCAGCAACAGCGCCGGCACTGCAAACCTTGACCCTCGACCACACGTGGACTACCCCATCAAGACAGACATCATCTGCAGCCACGACTACAAAACAACCGCCCCTGTCCGCGCCGCATTGTGGGTTCGGTAGCTGTGCGAATGCACAGCCTAATCCGTTTGCCTTCATCATCCAGGTCAGTAACAGAAGTGCTTTTCTTGCTAAGAAATTGAGTAATTATTTTTTAGTTCAGCTGCCGAACCCACAGTGCTGTGTTGTGATTATCGTTGAGTGTGCGCAGGTCATAAGCTCTTTTTTGCTTTTGGCGGGGGAAGTCGAAACTTACCCTGGGCCTCTCCCTAGTGAAG